GGGGGGGGGGCTGGTTAAGCCTCCTTATTTAAAAACAACATCAAAGATTAGAGGAGTACTTGTGTAAATAATGAGTGGGTATATTATGAACCGGTCTAACTATGTCGATAAAATTAATTAAATTCTTAAGAATATTAAGGTATAATCAAGCTCTCAGGGGAATGGACACTTCGATCAGAACGGTGGTCTTCGCTGTATTTCTATTATGGCATTCGGGTGGCGCAATGGATAGCGCACTCGCCTTTTACCAAGGCGACCGGGGTTCAATTCCCGATGATACGTGATGAGGTATGGGGTCACATGCCCGATTACGTGGGTTTTCCCTGGTACTCCGGTTTCCTCCCACATAAAGAACCCATAGCGCTAACATCCGGGCCAGCAAGCGTTATTAATATAACTTTAAAAGAAATGTTTCATAATTGTTGTAAAATAAATAAGGTTTAATTTTATTTGTATTCTTATGTTGCATATTTTGTGTTTGTTTCAAATAAATAATACATGATGTGACGTTCTGAATATCAGTTGCATTATCAACAAATTGCCAGTACGGTATGTAGGAGCCCATTTTTACTATCTTATATAAAGCATCAGCAAAATGTACATAATTTGATATTCAAATAAAATGAGGTCAGTTGCGCATAACAACAATACAAAAAACGCAATATTTGAAGCATAAGCGAGGCTAGGGGGTAATAATTTGTTTAATGGTCATATACATGCTTACACAATAAAAGTAAACACAGTAATTTTTAAATAAACAAACGTGAGAAAGCACCTTAACTGCTCAAGATGGAAACCTGTTTGTCATAAATTATTTACAGTGCGCTACACACATGTGTAATGTGCGATTAAGCACAGTTAAGTGCTACACGCTGGTTATCCATTTAACACAAGACTACACTCCTGAATATTTCGATTACAAATATGTCCTACCTCAGTATAACTAAGACGTGTCCCACCATGACCTTTCGGACATGTGATCTCTTGATCGAATCACACATATACATCCTCTCGTCCTGGTTGATGGTTGGCTGGTACAGGTGAATGTATATGGCCTTCCGGTTCCAAATTTCAAACTAATTCTTCTTTGCGAGTGTCAGTCCTACTTACGAAGGCCAAAGTAATGGGCGAAGTATTGAGGAATGTAGCCTGATGATTCGAACAAGTATTTTAAAAACATCAGATTTGTAAGCACCAACATAGATGAACTTTCGTACTCACAGTTTGGAGCATCTTTATGTGTTAACTACATATAGCGAAGATAAACGACAGCTACATAAGGGACATTAGTGGCTTTGACGTATTTACCTGCAGAAGGTTCTATCTGCAAATTTCCAGACAAAGTAGTATCGTCCTCCAATAATAACGTTTTGCTGTCCTTTTCTATGACGTTTTCTTTCTGTTCATTTCCTGCAAGATAGAGAAACGTTACACACACAAGTAATTTCAATTTTGCCATTTACTAAGACTCATCGGTGATGCTAGGGGTCACAAAGTTGGATATCTACATTATCGTAACTACTGTTGACCTGTTAAAACATGCATAAGTCAAATACTTTAACCACGTATTTCTTTAAGGAGATTAATCAGTTTTATAAATCGATGTGTTTTAAATTCTACTTTGTACATAAATATTGAGCTTTGCTATATTACAAAGATGAACGAAATTACATCATAGCATACAGCAGTTTTGTTCTTCTACGACTCATCTGTGATGAAAGGGGCCAATGAATTGGAGAAACAGAAGGGCATGTGCGTAAAACCCCGAAAAAAAATATTCCATAAAATGAAAAATGTATCTACCATTGATACTTTTCTTCCTTATACGGTTACTATTCTTCTTCTTTTTCTTTGTGACATCAGGCTTTTTGTCTAAAATATTAAAACGGACATTTTGAAATTATCTATAGCACTGTAATGGATTCAAAGACGATTGCTTTAAGCCAGAAATGACTTTCTCGTGACAATAAGTTTTGTTGTATTACGATATTGCATATTCTTCTGTTGTGGGTAACTGTTTTCCTCCATAATCAGATGATATTGGTACTTATATATTTTTTGTTTTGTTTTATTAATTAAATTTCCAAAAGGTATCACCACTTTGTAGCTTTTAATATTTCATAAGGAAGTTAAAAATATATATATGTATACAATATCATACCTTGACCTGGTTTTCTTGATTCTTCATTGTTGAAGTCAATAGCATGCAATTCTTTAATGAAATCTTCCCAAATGTTATCCGAATATTTTTCGGGAGTCCCTAAATATTGATACAATATGTATATTGCATGAATCACTAATATATAACGTCGAAAGCAGTTAACAGAATCATAAAACTTTCAGTTGGATGCAGATATGATTATATCTACCTGGTAATATGAACTTAAAATAACTGATGACAACGATGATTAAAATGTGAAATTAACATCAACTAGTAAACTCTTGTAAGTAAAAATTTATGCAAAGAAAATCTTTTAATTAACTAATAATATTTTATTTTCCTGCAGTTCCTAGTACAGATCTTTTGTTTTTTTAACTTTCAATATTTTTTCTTCCATCTTTACTCTAAACGACATTTTATAAAGCAAAAGATGTAAGTTAACTTATCTTCTATTAAATAAATATATAAAACTATTTCATGTCCAGGGGTGAAGGATAGGGAAATTCCACCCGATTTGTTTTTTAAATAAATAAAACCCGAGGCCTTGCCGAGGGATTTGCCAATTTTAAAAATCCCGAGGGTGGTAATGCCCTATTCTATACCCTTTGACATGGAAGAGTATTTTTTCCTCATTCCAACTACCAGAATAATCTCAGAAACCCTGAAAATGCGTTTTGACTGGCTACCATTGTGAAAATATCATCCCCCCCCCCTGATATTTTTAGACGAAAACGAATGTCAGATTAAGCATACCCCATATTTGCAAACAGAGTTTGCCTAGAAAAAAAATCAGATCTTTCTTACGTATACGGTATATATATCGGAAATGGTTTTAATTTCATCACGTCGCCTTCTTCGCATTACGGCATTGGATATTTCAAAATTCGTGACATCACGTTATTGTTGAGCCATTGTGATGTCAGGTAACATGAAATGGGGTGTAAGATATACATTTCTTACACACATTTCTAACCATGGATAGCTCTATCTTAAACACAAGGAAATGAGAGAAAACATATATTTTATCGTATTCTTTCACTGAAAGAGTTCCATACATTATTTATAAGATATATTATATCATATGAGTTGATGTACGTCTAAGCACCAATGTAGAAAAAAAGTATAAAGTACCTCCTTTGAAATGCCTGTCCAACAGGTCTTGTCGCTTTAATGTCACTAAAGCTGTGTAAACGACATGTTGGTATTTAGTCGTGTGACGTCCAATGGTATCGAGCCATTTTGATATGACCAGTTGGTGAAGATGTTGTCCAGTTTCTTGGATAACCTTTACCTGCGATTCAGTGAATCCGATATGCGAGGCAAACTCTGCGAAATTTCCCCCGAGTTTTTCTGTTAGATCCGACAGCCATCTGTTTGCCTTCGATCCTTCAGAAAATTGTGTAGATATAATATATTACAGTAGCATGTATGTTGTTGTTGTTTGTTCTAATTTGATCAAAATAAGGAACAGCTAGTGTATAACATATTTCATTTTAGATTCAAAATACAAAGTCGTCGAATGGCGTGATCAGACATTTCTGGTAAGTAATTTATAAGGTCAATTTCTCATGAAGCAGGCATCATGACTGGAGAAAATACCGTACGGGAACATCGATTTACATGATTGGACCCCCCTCCCCCCAAAAAATAAATCCTTTTTATGAAAGAGAAGAGCAACATAAGGTCCAACAATAAACTGGAGATGATGCTAGTTTGATGAAGTTATATTATTATTAGAAAGAACCAGCTGTACAAGGTTCATCAGCATAAAGATATTTTTGGATACATTTTCATTTTTATCTATACATACAAAGTGTCTCAGTGTGACCATCTCTGTAATCTCTGAGTTCCGCTTTTGATATAAATATATCTTCCCTGCATTTCTTCAATATGTGATGCTAAAATCAAAGGTTCAATTACATTATTCTGATTCTTTATTAGAGATTTAATAAAACATGTTATAACGTAGCATTCAAATCGATAAGGTTTGTTGACTGGTGTAGCTCCTCTTTACGATGCAAAAGACAGGTATCTGATTAGATTTTGAATATCTGAAACCAATCAAACAGCTTACTGCGATCCTTCGTTTTCGTCATGAAACATCGCAGGAGTGCAGACCAGATGTGTATAGCGAAATGAGATCCTTCGCATTTCGAAGACGTAGTTTGGTATGAAAATAAGACGTTATGTTGCAATGGGTCCTGAGAGGAACACGTTCATTTAAAAAAAAGTTACTTTTGCATTAAATGAAGACAATTACCTGTTAAACTTGACTTGAATCCTGACGCGCTTGCCATTCCTGATTTAGATGTGCATTACCTATGCAAAAAGCAATAAATACCAATTAAATGCATAATTATTGCCATCGAGTATGCCAGAAGAAATCTTGATTCTAATTCATTTTGAGATGTAGTATTGTTTTTATGACGGAAACATCACGAGATAACGCCACAAATCTCAAAATAAAATAGGATTTTCTCCTAACTAAAAAAAAATCAAATAAAAAAAATCATCCACATAGAAAACCGTTAAGTGTTATTTAAGGTATTATATATGTGTATGCTTGTAAAGCGTCTCTGACGAAATTTCACTGGCTGCTTTATATTAGTAGAAGGCCAATACAGAATATCTGACAGGGACCTTATATATATTTAAAAGGTATCTTTTTTTTGTATATACATTAACCTCCCGTCAATCTTATTTTGGATATTACTGTAACACGGTTTGGCAAGGCGACTTTCCTTGACAAGGTTGCTTAGTAGGTTTAAGGTAGTAAAACAATATGCAGTGCCTGGTTCGAATCCCGATCTAGAACCTTTGCATCCTCTTTTACTCTCAGAACTTTGCTGTTGTTGATTATTTGTTTTGTTCATTTCATGGAAATTTCTTTTCATAAAAGTCCCGCAGGTAACGGTTTTCTTTTCAGAAATGTTTGATAAAAGATATAGTTATGCCGGGGAGATAGTTTCCAATAAGTAGGTACAGTTTGGAAAATGGAATTTACAAATTTGAACATTTGGGAAATTAGGTAGGTTTGCAATGTACAATAACGAAAACATATTGTATATTGTAACAAGAGGCCAAGAGGGCCTGTATCGCTCACCTGTTTCTTTTGTTACACGAAACTGACATATAAGGTAACTGCAGACCAAATTCGGTAACTAGAACACACGACATTTTAAAATCTCTTTAACGGTTCCTAAGATATTGTTGTTTGAAATTTGAAAGTTGAATTTTAAAGCTTTTAACCCACACAGCTCGTCTATATAATATACCCAAGTATAATGAGTCTAGACCAAATTTTTATTAAGATATTGTTGTTTTAAGTTTTTAACATATTAAACTGTGACCTTGAAACTAGGTCAAGATCCTTTTAATGAGGAAACTGTATAGCACTCCATCCCAGGTACCTACTGGCTTAATAGCATGCACCTAGGTCCTCCAGGTCTTCAGAAGAGTTTGTTCAAAAGAAAACAATTGACGGACGACGGACGAGAACCATTACTTTTTAAGGATAATAAATTAACAATATGGCGTTAAAGTCTTTCTTTATTTAAATTTATTGGCTTAAGCTGCCTTTTACAAGGAAGAAACTGTATAAGCTAATTTCAATATTAATATAGGTCAAATAATTGTGGCATGAAATGAGATGTATATTAAATATATCCCCCACTTCTGTTTATGCAAGACTCATGCATCAAATGCCGTACATCCCTGAGGGATACCTCTAATTCACATAGTTCATCTGGTGACCTCTAGTGCGGAAAATACATATTTTTCTTAATATTATTAGCGTGTGCAGGAAAACAATTAATTCAGTTTGAAACGTTCGATACCATTCCTTTTAAGGCTGTTTACACATATGTTTACCTCCGTGATGAGGATCATTATATAAAAGGGACTACTTAATGTACATTTTCGGTACATTTTGTATGTGAAAAAGAAAATGCCAACCCCGTGTGAACAATTTTCGTTCGAACCCATAAAAAAAATCAATCGTAACACTCGTAATGAGTTCTGATTATGGAGTGATACTAAACCATTCAAAACACGGTGAAAGAAAGGAAACACGCATATATGCGATTCATATGGTATCAATTTCATAGCGTTACTGCAAAGACTTACCTTCCCGTACAAAGTCAAAAGCGAAAGTATATCTACTTCCAAGAAGTTTGTTTTAATCGGATATAAAAGCTAGCGTTGAGCAAACACATTTCAAATAAAATTATTCTAGTGTCAATTTTGTGTCAAATTTGTGTCATCCCAACATTTCTGTCAATGGTCCATGGTGATTCAGTATGGAGTGTATTCTACAAGGAAACAAACAAACACATGTATATATTCATAAACAATTCGATATGTATATAGCATGTATATCATAATCATAACTGTATATTCACCGTTATTCATAGAATGTCCATGTATGAACAAGCACTACATAAACCACATCACGTGATTAACGAGAGCTAACAGGAATTGAACGAGGCCCTATTCGAGAACATTCTGAAAGTTAATCATTTTTTGTAAAAGACTTAGATAACGAAAGTACACCAATTTTACAAAAATACTTGTCTCGCAGATAAGATACGTAGTTGTTAAAAGGAGATATACATAACATTTGTAATGGGTGTTTCACAAATTTAATAGAATCTTCACAATGAAAGCGTTGGTTTAAACCGTTTTCATTGTAACCGAAAGTGAACAAACAGTCAAATGACAAATGTCAAACTGAATGGCGATTCTCAAAAATATGTCACGGTTTCGAACGTTGATCTATCAATTGTTTTCAACAATTTACAACTTAGATTTAAATTTGGCTTACCTGCTGAGTTTCGTTCTGAATCACAACGGATCGATTATATCATCATTTAAAGAATTTCCGGAAAGACCAGCCTAATCTAAATTAGCACCACACGTTATCGTTGTAAATCAGATTGTTCATTATAACTTACATGTATATTGCAAGTGCGTCTACATATAGGTTTACATTGTACGTGTATAGGCATAATGTTGCAGAATTTAAATATTTCCTTTTTGTTATGCATGGCGGCGTTCTTCCTTATGCGAAGTTTTGACCTTATTCATAAAGACACAAAAGATGTGTTTCCTTCTGGGACATTCACCGAGCTCAGTTGATATTAATTACTTTGCATATGAATTCCAGTGTATGCAAGTATACAATTTTACTGATATAGACAGGAATACTATACATAGCTTCCATAAGCAATATTTATAAACATTTTTCAGATTTAAAAATCGTTATTGAAGTATGATTTATATTCTTAAAGGAAACCAACACACACATGTACTCATTCTTAAACGAATCGATATGTAAATAGCATATTTATAATAAACATACCTGTATATCAACAGAACAGTATAGTCCCAATTATTTATAGAATGACTGACGCCTCTGTCTGCCAAGTCTTGCGTGTCTATAATTATTATCAATGCTTAACGGCCCATCAACACAGGATAGGTCATTAGGGCCAACAAATGGTCGACAAAACAAAAGCTGAATCAAATTTTAAAAAAGGGGAAAGAACAGAGAGAGAGAGAAAGGAAAAGAAAATAGAAAGTTGAAAGGGAAAGAAAAATGGACAGAAACAATATCTACACTATTAGATGGGACTCTGAGGATTGTACCTGGCCATTCCAGAGGAATGCACAAAGGCTAGCCCGAAGGCGGACTTCTGTATACCAAACCCCCAGGAAGGAATGCATAATGGTGCAAACCTAGCATTTGCGTCCCGGCCAAAGGGCGGTGCTGATTGGTCTGACCTCTACCTTTCAACCTGTCTGGCTTGGGTGACCCTACCAGGAGCACAATGCCTCAACCAGCATAGAATTCTAGGTCATTGATGTACTCAATCCCCCCACCATGTAAAAGTGCAGCGACTAGGGGATTGCGTGTCTATAATAGGATTTCAATGTTCAAGCACGACATAAACCATATCACATAAGAAAAAACGGATATAGCACGTTACACTCGAAAACAATATGTATGCTATTTTTGTCCGAGAAGGATCCATTGTTGTTAAAATGAGAAATACATAAAATATATCATGAAATTGGTAATGTGTGTTTTGAAATCTAAGTGATATTTAAACCGTTTAAATGGCTACCGGTAGTGTACGTGGTATAATCTGCATGTACATTTTATTAAAAGGCGGTTATAACGGGAGTACAATTCCCAAAAACTTCGTAAAAAGTACTTGTCTTATCACACGGAACAGTACATTAATGATAAATAGAAAGATACATTGCATTTGTTCTGGTCTGAAATACGTTTTTTCTTTCGCAAATTCTGTAAAAGATTCACAATTGATAGTTCGGTTTGTACCTTTTAAATGACTACCGTAAGTGAACATGGTACAGTGTAACGACGGTGGTCGATTGACAATGGTGTTAATCAGATATTAATTGAAATGTTCGAATGTTTTACTCGTTAATAATGTATTCATCATATTCATATCTTGTGCAAAAAGATAGGACAAAATGTCAACATCCAATCAAACGACAAATGTCGAACTGTATACCAAAATGGCAATCTTTAAATAAGTGTGGATAATAAAAATAATTTGTCACAGTTTTGACAGTTGATAGACCACTTTTCGAAACTGTGATATATTGTATTTACATTGGCTTACCTGCTGAGTTTCATTCTGAATCGTAACGGTTCGATATAGTTTTTTAAAGAATTCCCCCCCCCCCCAAAAAAAATAATATTTTAGTAGTTGAAAATAGAATCACACGGCATCATTGTAAACAATGTTGTCTAGAAGAGCTTTTATGTATGTTGCACTTATGTCTACATGTAGGTCAACATTGTACATGTATAGGGACAATATGGCCGAGTTCAAATGGCAATTATTTGTCCCATATATACATTTATCCCTGTTTTAAAAGTAAGCCAGCATACTACGTTTCACGCATGACAGCATTCTTTATTACATAAAATTGTCACCAGATTCATCGGGACACAGTAGGTGTGCGTATTGTGTCATCCTGGTTATATTTACGTACATTATCCGATATATGTTGATATTTATTACTTGGCATACGGGAGCATTTGTACAATTGTAATTACATTGACTGACATATCATTTTAAGCAATTTTTATATAGTTTTCAGATTTGCCGTTAAAATGGACCTTTTCAATATGAATAAAGCTGAAGTGGAATCAACAGAACTTCTATTTATGTTATGAAAAGTATTTAAAAGCATTGACCTGGAATACAGATGAACTTATTTTGTTATGTAAAAGAGCATGTATCGGAGTGAGATTACTTGTATTTCTATATGCAGTAGTTTATTCGAAAGGCAGTGATGAGTGACTGGTTAGATTGATTTTGCTATGGGGCAATCCAAGGGCTAACTGTTGTAAACCTATACAGTACGGCCACGGCGTATAGCAAACATTCTGTTATTTCCACTGTCGGTACTCGAGTGCACATACGATGCGTGCACTAATAGATTACTTTTACAATTATGTTTTATAATATTCCCGAGTCCAGTGATATGGTGTGATTGAATTATATTGCTAAAGGTAATATTCAAGATAAAAATATATCAAAATAACGGTTCAGGTTGATAATAACTTTGGGGAGACCCTAAATCGGACCACATAGCGAAAATACCTCTAAATCTTAATTGTGTCAAGTGTTTATTTGATCATATGATGTTGACTAGAATGAATGATCAAACATCATCTGTTTGTCTATAAAGGGTTAATTTACTCCTTCAAATAGAATAGAAGTAAAGGAGGAAATCAAAACGAGAAATGGGGTATTTATTAACGTTGTAAAAATGGCGTTCGGCCGCGGGTTATGGCTTCTGTTTCAGAAAATAAGTATATATGTATACCATCATGCATGGGAATACTTCTATTCATACCGATTCCACATATTATTAGGAGACAATGTTTATTACCAGGATACGGCCGGTACTGAATTTGTTACTAAATATATTTGCATGTCATGTGTCCTTCATGAATTAAAAAAAATGTCTGTCCCATGCCTGCAGTTGTATTTAAATAGTCAATGTCCCATTACAAGGAAACAAATATGAGAGAAAACGGGTATTGTACGATACCTTTATCTACATGTGAGTTTAATAAAAGGCTGATATAACGATAGTACAATTTCAAACAACTTCACGAAATGCTTGTCTTATCACCCGGATGATATGTTATTGTTGAAAAAGAAATATACATTACAATTTGTTATGGTCTAAAATATGTTTTTCTTTTGCAAATTCAGAAGAATATTCACAATTGATGTTTCGGTTTGCACGTTTTAAATGGCTACCGGAGGTGAATATGGTAACGACTTTACTTGATTGTAAATAACGTAAATATGATATCAAAGGAAGACTTATTCGAAAATTCTACATTTTTCATAGGTAATAATGTTACATATATAGTTTGTACAGTCAAGAAAGGATAAATATCAAGAGATAAAAGTTAAAATATACCCAGGTGGCAGTACTGGCATCAGTATAAAATTAAACGTCTTTCACAGTTTCGAAAGACAACTTAATGACATTCCTTTTACAAATAACAACTTACCTGCTGATTTACCTGCTGAAGTTCGTATCAAACCTAAACTGATCAATCACTATCTACGCACTTACCTGAACACCACACCAGCTAAACGTTACGTGTGTGTTATCGTCTAAGCTATTTTCATTGGTTAGGTCTTCGTATATAGACACATTGCGGCAGTGTAATTCAAAGCCATGTATCAAATGTACAAATTCATACGTCATAGATACCTGTTATTTACACCGAAACAAGAGTATTGCGTTTCACGCATGACAACGTTCAATTCGTGTACATGCTTTGTTATCCTGAACATGACTGATCTAAGTTGAAATTTATTACAGGGCATATAAATTGCAATACATGCATTTGAACATTTATACTGACATTGACAGACTTACTATAAATATGACATGGAGTAAACAGAGAGTGGTCAACGATCAAATTGTAAATATTTTGAAAAACACATCTTTCAACCACTTTTACTATTGATACAATTGAAATAAGACGATAATCTCAAAGTAGTGAACGACCCCCTTTCGTGTTAACTTGTGTTATGTTAGCCTGTTTCCATAACAGTGGGAACTGACTATGAGTAAAAGGAAAATAGAAAAAAAGCATTAGGAACACTAAGGATTTCTAGCTGCTTCTTTCAGTAAACTAGGATTACTGAGGTCAAAACCAATAGCTTTGAAACGGTTCAGAATTGTAATGACATAAATATTATCTTGCCTGGTCAAGAAAACTGTCACCAACGTAACAATTCCCAATTGACGAAGAATTGCTTATACCTACTATATCTAATAGAGACGAAGTTTGTTTCTGTGGTTAGTTTACTAATTATGATAACCTAAAATCTGTAATTGGCGTACGCAAATGTACAGTAGTATGATTGTGATCGGTAGGTGTTGGAATTGTTTTACGTGCCATGGTGTAATAAAATTCAGATTGCCTCATTATAATACACAGAAGGTTGGTTGAAATTTTCAAGAGCGAATTTGGGACCAGGATCGGAAAATAGAAATTACACTGGTTAACAAAGGGAAAAGACAGTAGTTCATATACAGGTTGTGATAAAGGAGAAAATCTATGAAACACCAATCATTGGCTACACTAAGCTTACACCATTGTTTGTAACGTACATTATCATTCTTAATGTCTCCGTATTTTCATGCCGTGGCGGAAGTGTGTAAGTGTATTATGTTTAAAAAGAACTGGGCTTTATTAACACAAAAGCCTTTTGTGTGGGCATCATCAACACAAAGGGCCTTTCATGACACTTGATGAAAATTGGGCAATATTAATACAAAGGCTTGAATACATAGATGACGTAACATACTCCATACTTCACCACTATATAAAAACTGAACATAAAATTCGAAAGAACACAAAACAATAGAAAGGAATACATTTGATTGTATTTTAATTACAATAATTAGTTTCATTTTTATCATTGTTTCCAATGTCACCATCATGTGGTATAAATGCTTAATAGCAAAACATTGGTGTCATTGGAGCTAACAACGGCTGCTGCTTCGGTCTCAAATATATTTTATCCGTTTTTACTCAGAACCATCAAATCATACTCTGTTCACTTCATGTCCTCCTTAAGTGCGAAAGAAACAAACATGTAAATAATTACACACACACACACAGATAATACACGACACGAGTACAGTACATTGAAGTGACATCGATTTTGATAGAAAATTTACGAGCATGCAGTGTATGTAAGACATTTCGCTACTGGTAATGCATCATTGAATCATTGAAACATAACAAATGATTATAAAGGTTTAAGAAAACAGACGAGAAACGACTTTCATAAACTGTGATTGAATTAATAATCAGAGGATTTCATCAAATGGAACTCGAGATTTATACACTGCCCGTCGAAAAAGAATTCAGCTCAGACATAAATCTTCATCACG